GGTTCTGACGTGGCTCCATCAGATAGATGGAGAGGCAGAGAGTCAGCCTTCATAGAATGGTTCTGATGTGGCTCCATCAGGTAGATGGAGAGTCAGCCTTCATAGAGCGGTTCTGACGTGGCTCCATCAGAGCCGGGAGTTTTTCGTAGATCGTGTCTAACATTTTGGTAACACAGGCCGGGGTCCTTCTACTTCATGACCTAACTCTAGTTCACTTTCAAAGGCTTTCTCCATTGACATCATTCGACACAAAGATTCGATGGACGAACTCTTCAGTCATCGTGGTGAAATCTTTGGCACATGTGGGGAGGAGCAAAAAGCTGTATTACAGGTGAATTGCATTTATTTATTCACCATGTTCTTGTCTTGACCATGATGAGTCAGTACAATTGTGAAATGATAAAGGTTTCTTCCTCTCCATTACTGGTAATGGTATTAAAGTGCAGCTTGATGTTCTGGGGGGGGTTCACACCCCTAACCGTGTGTGCACAAATGTCCAAACAGTCCTGTATGATGGGAAATACATTGCAAATTCATGTTCTTTATGATAGAGGAATTGCTTCTTCAGTCTGTAAGGATCTTTGAGTTACCTTTCACAGTGTCTGTGATCGATTTTTCAGAACCATATGCAGATACTCTTTCTTCAGGTCCTTCTAAATGATCAGACCAGTTTTGTTTAGGAGAGACCAGTTTTGTTTGTTTTTGTAAAGGTTGCAGTTAACCACTGTTTCCTCAGAAATACTCATAAATCGAGCTACTCACTTTAAACGTATGAAGCAAGGTGTCAGGTTTATGGAGACATTTTTGTCAGAGGAAAAGAGACAAGTGGAACTTGATGGGCAGAGAGTCTGTCACAGGCCCTGAGATATTCTTTGTTGAACTGACCTGCTGTAATAATGCTGTGTCTGAAGTTGTGTGTCTTCACTAGAGGTTAATGCTGTGTTGTGCTTGCTCTGTTTGACTGTCTTTGAAACTACTTTCATGTGTTAAAAAATCTAGAAACAATATATATATGTGATAGGAAAAAATAGAAAATTCAGATAAGTATATGGAAAATATAAATCACTTGTAATTTTGCTCAATTAATCCATTTCTGAGCATTAAAAACTAAAGAAATTCTTTGGTTTTTAATGTATATACACCTACATTTTTCCTTAAAAGAAGGGTTCGTAAGAGTAATAAATGTTATACTTTGTTGTTCATAGGAAAAGACAGAGTCTCTAATACAGCAGTATGAAGCCATTAGTCTGCTCAATTCAGAACGTTACACCCGCCTCGAGCGGGCCCAGGTCTTGGTGAACCAGTTTTGGGAAACTTACGAGGAGCTCAGCCCCTGGATTGAGGAAACCCGGGCACTAATAACACAGTTACCTCCTCCGGCCATTGATCATGAGCAGCTCAGGCAGCAGCAGGAGGAGATGAGGGTAAGGAGTGTGTGGGTTTTTATTTCAATGCAGAACTGAACATGGGCTCCACGATTTATTTGAAAACAACATATTTATTAGTGCCTACCGGGTGTAAGTTCTGCGTTACAAAGTTAAGTCTTAAGCAGTTAGAATATCTTTGCACAATACAAACGCATACCTGAATTCTTTCCCTTGTCCTTAATGTGAATGCATTAAAGAAAAGCATGGAGATGTCGGAGCCCTAGGCATTGCAGAAGTAAAGAACTAAGTAAACATCAAGGGAATTTTTCATCTTTCCAGCACAGTGGGATGTTGTGAGATGGGTGTGGCTGGGTGGCTTTTTCGATTTGGTTCAGCCCTAGTTGGAGTGGGAGCCATGAAGAAAGGGCAGAGAGCATTTGTGGCATGTAGTTTAGGGGAAAAGGGGAATCTATAGACACTTAATGCTGTTACCATTAAAGATAGTTTTTAATGTTTCTTTTATTTGTGGTTAATGGCTTGTGCTTAATTCCTTTCTCTGTGTTCCTATATGTAGAAGGATATAAACTGGAAGGAACCAGTAATAAAGTCAAGGAGTGGTTGGATTATTAGAAATGTTGCCATTTGTGCCTTGTCTTGCTTACTGTCTCTCAGTTTGGGGAGGGAGACAGGTATTTAACCATGTAAATTATAATATAGTACACAGAAGTATTTATATGTACAGAAGAGGGGGATTAGACTTGTATTGGCAGGGAAGGTTGGGGGAGTAAGAGAGGATGTGTCTGGGAAGGCTTCCCGAGTTATGGAACATCTAATAGCTTTTGAAAATTAGGAGGATTAGGTAGTGTTAGAACCTAAGACTTAGATGTTTGTTTTTTCTTTCATAAATGGTGAGATGCTGGGACTTGCTGGGTTTTAGCAATTCAGTTTGTTCCTCTCAAAGTTGATACGAGATCTGATCAATATTTAAGCAAATAAACTGGTATAAAAACGCTCACTTTATTTTTTTACATAGCAACTCAGGGAATCCATTGCCGAACACAAACCCCATATTGATAAGCTGCTAAAGATAGGTCCACAGCTAAAGGAGTTAAACCCCGAGGAGGGGGAAATGGTGGAGGAAAAATACCAGAAAGCAGAAAACCTGTATGCCCAGATAAAAGAGGAAGTGCGCCAGCGGGCACTGGCCCTCGACGAGGCTGTTTCCCAGTCGGCTCAGGTATGTGTGTCTTAACTCATGATCCCTTCAACACTGCCCTGGAGTCTAAACAGGTCTCTGTGTCAGGTGTGCCCCTGTGGTCTCGAATGTCTAGACCAGCGTGCTGATGATACATCATCAGTAGACCAGGAACCTTTGCCTGTCTACATTTTCGTTCCAAGGAACATTGGTATACTGACGCTGTAGTGGGGGTAAAACTCATCTCGGCTGGTATATATTTTCTGTTGACAGTTTCCTTGAAAACTTTATATCGTGATGAGTCTTTAGCAGGGATGATTTTGGATAAATTCATCTTGAAGCAACAAATGTGTCAAGACAAGTCCGATTCCTATTTGGCTTGTTACATTTGAAATTTAGGGAACGGCACATTAGTTTTCTTACTCAAGAGGCCACCAGCAGTGGACTTTAAAGCATGTAACTACATACTTTTCAACTAATATATTACTGTTAGTGGTATTTTTGTCATGTCTGGGTATTTTATTCCTATGTTTAGTCTCAATATTCTTGGTTAATATTTGTACTTACTCAAGTTTTTCCCCCCACCTTCCGTCCCATCTCTCACTCACATTGTGGAATGTGTTACTTTGTGTTGTTGCTGCCTGCTCCTGTCTTCCCCACATCGTCACATTTCATTGTTGTGTTGACCGCGCCCACCATTACAGATTGCAGAGGTAAGGTGCCCACCCCCACTGGGATTAGGGGGTTCTTATGAAGCTTGAGAATTGAGAGAATTTACCTATAAGGGAATTTCCTTAACTGTAGTGGAATAAGTTTTGTTAGTGTGGTTTATTATGCCAGTCTCACTAGGGGTGAAACCTAGAAGTGAGGGAGTGGTGGGGAGTGATTTTGTTGAGGAAGTCCCACTGTGTCTTCCCTGTAAGACACTTAGAGTTGACAAGCCTTATTCTAATGAATCCAGAGTTGGTTCTGGAGAGCTTTTTAAGGGGGCAAGCTTATCCCTTTTCCCCTTTCTCTGCTTCAGATTGTAAATGAAAATTTTATGATTATAGTCATGTTATTCAAATACCAGAAAAGTGGGAAGGTAAATTGTTCTTTTAGAATAAAGATAGATTTGACCTTCCTTGATTACCTTCCATCATGCTGACATTTTCCCTTCTCACTATTACATATAGTGGGTTATTAAATTGCATGCCATGTTACTTTTAATCTCCAAATCATGTGGCATATTGAGTTCCCCATTCATGTACACAGTTGGTGGAGGGCCTCTAACTTGTTGGTCTAATCTGTTGCATGCAACTGTCATCTGAGATGTTGACACACTGACTCTCACCAGTTTCATGGTCTTGTCCCTTTCTTGTCACACTAGTTGGAATAGGGGGAGTATTGTGACAGCACTAAATGAGTTGATTTCTGGCATATCTTTTGTTTGTTTGTTTTGAAAATAAACATTTACTTTCTTTTTTTGATGGGCCAGCACTGGTATGCTATACCCAAAACAGTTTCTTAGGCCAGCCTAACACTTGACAGCCATCGGGCTAGGCTGAATGCAAGTTAGTAGTAGATTTATACCCTGGCCTTATTCCCTAACATTTCCCCCAGAAGTATGATGAAGTATTACTGTGAAGGCTAATGGTCCAACATTTGTTTAGTTCCATGATAAAATTGAGCCCATGTTGGAGACTCTGGAGAATCTCTCCTCTCGCCTGCGTATGCCACCACTGATCCCTGCTGAAGTAGACAAGATCAGAGAGTGCATCAGCGACAATAAGAGCGCCACTGTGGAGCTGGAAAAGCTGCAGCCTTCCTTTGAGGCCCTGAAGCGCCGTGGAGAAGAGCTCATTGGGCGATCTCAGGGAGCTGACAAGGATCTGGCTGCAAAAGGTGCTTGATGAATCTAAATTTTTTTTTTTTTTTTTAGTAGCCTCCACGCCGAGCGTGGGGCTTGAACTCAAGACCCTGAGATCAAGACCTAAGCTGAGGTCAAGAGCTTAACCTAGTGAGCCACCCAGGTGCCCCTGAATCTAATTAATTTTTAAAGAAAATCAGTAGAATAAATTCTAGGCTGTGGTTACTGTAGCATCCTACCAGATACATTTCATTGAATGTGAAGGTAGTCCCCAAATAATGAGTATTCCACAAAGTCATTTGGAAGTCATTTAGAATTCAGAGCACATCTCCCCCACTGAAACAAGATTACAATTGGTAGTTAGATTCCCAGGCCAGGAAACAAATGCTCCTTTAACCCCTAATATGAGTAAGCTGCAGTATCCATAGTAGGTGGAACATAACTACCTTTTATAACACTTGATATGGGAAACAAAGCAAGTTTCAACACACAACAGTGGAAACAGAGTTCTCATCTCAGCCCCTTTATAAGTTAGGTCTTTTGTTTTTGTTTTTTTAAAGATTTTATTTATTTATTTCAGAGATAGATAGCATGTGAGGAGAGGGAGAGAGAATCCCAAGCGAACTCCCCACTGAACACAGAGTCAGATGCAGGGCTTGAGATCATGACCTGAGCCGAAATCAAGAGATGCTCAACCGACTGAGCCATCTAGGTTCCCCTCGGTCTTTTGTATCTTAGCAGCACCTTTATATTAGATGATAACTCATTTCTACATTACCTCTGTGATCTCTTTCTGTGGGAGACCAACATAAGTGGAAAATACGAATGTCAAAATAATAAATAAAGCAAAGGTAGAAAACTGTCCTTCGCTTTAAATTTTTGGAGCTTTTTAAAGGGTAAGAACTAGGTGAAATTTCTGATGAAGTAGATCCAAGTACTTAGAAAGTCTCATTCATATCTGTTCTTTATTCCCTCAGAAATCCAGGACAAGTTGGATCAAATGGTATTCTTTTGGGAGGACATCAAAGCTCGGGCTGAAGAGCGAGAAATTAAGTTCCTTGATGTCCTTGAACTTGCAGAGAAGTTCTGGTATGATATGGCAGCTCTCCTGACCACTATCCGAGATACCCAGGACATTGTCCATGATTTGGAAAGCCCAGGCATTGACCCGTCTATAATCAAACAGCAGGTGGAAGCTGCTGAGGTGAGACAAAAACAAAACCCCATCTCTTATGTGTTTGTCCTCTAGAAAATCATTTTATCTAAGCGTTAACTGCTTACCTGGTCCAACTGCCTTAAAAGATGGTGGTGGTGGTGGTGGTTGTTATTTATTTAAAAGACTTTTTCCCACTTGAAAAAATATGTGCTCGTTATAGTAGAGATTTCTTTCTTTTTTAAATATACACGTTGTACCACTTGTATAGACTCATACAACCTCCATTATTGTGATATAGGACAGTTGCATCACTCAAAGGTAATTCTGCCATCAATTTTAAACTTCATTCACATTAGTAGAATGTGCTTTCTGATTTTAGTCCTCTCTAGTGTACATTATTTCTCAAGTAAATTTCTTTTTTTTTCCCCCAAGTAAATTTCTTTAATGTAGAAAAATAGCAGATAGAAAGAAAATAAATTCTGGATTCATCATCCAGAGATAACAATTGTTACTTTGACATACCTTTTTCTAGCCTTTTTGGAGAGCCTGGTTTTTACTAAATGCATTTTTCACCTCATTTTGTCTCTTTAGTGTAAGCCATTTCCTGTCTTGATATTTTGTCTTGCTTTTATTTCAGCCGTTCTCCCCCCTCCCTGCTCTTGTCATTGCCAGTGCATGAACCAGTTTTTAGGATCTGGCACAGAACTGACTTTCTCCAAGATGATATAGCCTATTGTTGCTATGATGTTAATCTCTTAGCTCTTAAATTGGTGCCTTGTACAGGATTATTTTATCCTTGTTGATATACTTCCCTGTGATAGATTTTTTTTTTTTTAGATTTTATTAATTTATTTGAGTGAGTGGGAGGGAGAGAGAATCTGAAGCAGACTCTTCGCTGAGTACAGAGCCCGACAAAGGGCTCAATCCCACAACCCCCATGATAGATTTCTGGCTGTAGATTATAATCTCTTGGAGGCTGGAAGGATGAACCTTTGGTAAACTATTAGCGCTCACTAGACCTTTCCTAGACTATTTTATACATACTGTGATATATATAAATATATTTCAAACATCTATATTGTGTGTGTGCAAGAGAGCTAAAGAGAAATGAACCGAGTGTGAAGTTTCACTGTTTGGGTAGGTGAAATATTAAGGACATTGAAAGGCTTTCGTGAAATTGACAGTTCTGTTCAACATCTGCTATTGATAAGGGTATAAATTACATTTGCAAAGTTTGGGAAGATCTGTTCTGCTTTATGTTTTGGCTTATGTTCTGTTCATTTACATGTAGACTATTAAGGAAGAGACAGATGGTCTGCATGAAGAATTGGAGTTTATTCGAATCCTTGGAGCAGATTTGATTTTTGCCTGTGGAGAAACGGAGAAGCCCGAAGTGAAGAAGAGCATTGATGAGGTCTGGGAAAAATGGATATGGAATTTAGATGAAACATTAGTGGACTCACACTGAAGACTGGTATTAATTAAAGAATCTGTTTTTCCCCTAGCTGAATAATGCCTGGGAGAGCTTAAACAAAACCTGGAAGGAGAGGCTAGAAAAGCTTGAGGATGCCATGCAGGCTGCTGTGCAGTATCAGGACACTCTTCAGGTGAGAGGCCACAGCAGAAAGAAGGTTCAGTGTTCTTTTTGTTATATTCCAAAGCCAGCATCAGAGTGGATCACCTTTGCAGGACTTGGAGCATTCTCAAACCTAAGACAGTGCTGTTTCGGTATTTCTAGCCTAAGTTTCCCATTCCTAATGAGAAAAGTACTGATCTCCAAATTTCTACTCTTCTTGCCATGTTTTTCATCATCATCTTTATCCTCAGGGTGGCCATGCAGTGAAGCTGGTCATACTGTGTAAGTCCTTGCTTGCCAGAGGTTCCAAACCCAGGTTGCCTTGAAGCACAGCTTGGCACAGTACTTTCACCACATCCTGAGCTTGCTAGGTGGCCATGACAAATGCTAACTTTTATTCACAGTTTTTCCAGAGTGTAGTTTATTTTGGACATTATCCTAATAATACTGGCTCCGTTCTTAAATCTCCATATTACTGGAGTAAAGATCATTATCCCTTTACCTCTGCCCCCACCCCCCCCACCTAAAAACACAAACAGCACAGGGTACTTTGATTTTTGTCTGCTTATGTCAGCAGAGATGATGTTAATTCTCTCCCAACAGCTGGTGCTTTTTTTAGCTTTTGACTTTTTGTATTTTTATTTTAGGCTATGTTTGACTGGCTAGATAACACTGTGATTAAGCTCTGCACCATGCCCCCTGTCGGCACTGACCTCAACACTGTTAAAGATCAGTTAAATGAAATGAAGGTTTGTGACTGGGAATGGCTTTTGAAGAAGAGTTGTGTTTTCATTTTTAAAGACTTGGTTTGATGTTAACATGAAGTATGTCTTTGGTAGGAGTTCAAAGTGGAAGTTTACCAACAGCAAATTGAGATGGAAAAGCTCAATCACCAGGGTGAACTGATGTTAAAGAAAGCTACAGATGAGACGGACAGAGACATTATCCGAGAACCGTTGACGGAACTCAAACACCTCTGGGAGAACCTGGGTGAAAAAATTGCCCACAGACAGGTGAGGCAGGTGGTAGAGTCCATCAATGGACAACTAGCTACTGTTTTCTAAGTTCCTGACAAGTGTTTCCTTTTTATCTTTTTCTGAGTAGCACAAACTAGAAGGTGCTCTCCTGGCCCTTGGCCAGTTCCAACATGCCTTAGAGGAACTAATGAGCTGGCTGACTCACACTGAGGAGTTGTTAGACGCTCAGAGACCAATAAGCGGAGACCCAAAAGTCATTGAAGTTGAGCTCGCAAAGCATCATGTAAGTGCTCTTAGTTTTCAACTCTTAGCCTGTTGGTTTGAGACCAAATACTGTCACCAGAAGCCTCCTGATATTGTGTGCACCATAGAGAACCAGGCTTGATGATACCTGTGGAAATAAATGATGATGTTCAACATTTTTTTAGGTTCTAAAAAATGATGTTTTGGCGCATCAAGCCACAGTGGAAACAGTCAACAAAGCTGGCAATGAGCTTCTTGAATCTAGTGCCGGAGATGATGCCAGCAGCCTAAGAAGCCGTTTGGAAACCATGAACCAGTGCTGGGAGTCGGTGTTACAAAAAACGGAGGAGAGAGAGCAGCAGCTTCAGTTGACACTGCAGCAGGTACGTGTGTTGTCCCGGCCAGGTGGCTGGGGCTGTGCGCGTCACCGCGTCCGGAGGAGCACCTATCTGAGCCAGTCAAGGGAGAGCACTGTGGAATAGAATCCCCTCCACCTGCTCCACTCCATGTCTTAAGAGGAAGGTCAGTTCCATGCTGGAACTTGTCTGGAAAGAATACCTTTGATTGAGTGGTTGTTTTTGGATTTGTCTGTAGCCTAGTCTCTTCAGTTACTATTCAAAGTTAGTAGATCTTGGCTACAACAAAGCTTGCTCACAGATTCGGCTATTTCTTGCATTGAGTCAGGGTCTGCCCCCCCGCCACCATCCATCTGTCAGTCAATTCATCAAGTTATATCAGACATCAATGATAGGTTACAGTGAAGTCCAAAGGATTCTGCTAGATTCTAGAAATAACTATATTGGCTCCATGCTAATCCAGCAACAGACCCACCCTGAGAGCAGCCCAGAATTCCTCCCTCAGGATAGGCTCCTCATATGGCCATTTAGGAAGTTTACTCTTGAAGCTGAGAATTGACTGCTGACCTTGCTGATGTGTCTTTTCTCAAAGGCCCAGGGTTTCCACAGTGAAATTGAAGATTTCCTCTTGGAACTGACTAGAATGGAGACCCAACTTTCTGCATCTAAGCCCACAGGAGGACTTCCTGAAACTGCTAGGGAACAGCTTGATACACATATGGTAATAGACATTTCTTGAAGTTGAACATAATGCCCTATTCAGCAGCTCCTTACTGTTCACAGACCTGTATGTATCTGGGAGTCTACAAAGTATGCATTTTTATCGACAATATAGTACAACCTAAGGATTGTTGCTTTTATGTGGGCGTTAATAGCCCCTACCACGGGCAGCAGTGGTGACAGGGAAGCTGGACTGGAAATACATTGGTGAGCTGGTAAATTTTGAGTTGGTCAGTCTGTTGGCATAAGAATATTGATGTAAAGGTGAGAGCATCAAGAAGACAAATACATAACACAGATGTGTCTCTACTTAGGAAAAGAGTGTTTGGGAGACTTAGGGAAATCAATAGATACAATATTTTAAGAAAGGGGCTAAGAAAAAAAGGCAACATAATTTCTAGGCAAATATTTCAGGAAACGGAGAAATAAATTATTGGGGTCTATTTTTGTGATCTCTGATCCTTAAAAAGATCCTCTTTACTTGATAACAAAATTATTTTAATTTTAATGAAGAATGGTAGGATTCATTGCTCAGCAATTGAACTGAATTCAAAAGAAAGGGTTTTAATCAAGAATGAGACCTTCCTGGACTTTTCCAACTGTGCTCATAAATCTGTGTGTGGGTGTCTCTCAGGGAATTGTCATTGCCAATCTGTTTCATGCCCTTTTTTTTTTTTTTGCAGGAACTCTATTCCCAGCTCAAAGCCAAGGAAGAGACTTATAATCAACTGCTTGACAAGGGCAGGCTCATGCTTCTAAGCCGTGACGACTCTGGGTCTGGCTCAAAGACAGAACAGAGTGTAGCTCTCTTGGAACAGAAGTGGCATGTGGTCAGCAGTAAGATGGAAGAAAGAAAGGTATCACCACAAAATACAGTGTGTGATTACTGGGCTTGAGTAGTTTGCTTGGCGATTGCATGTAATTACCATCTAGTTTCTTTGGAGATTTTTCGAAGACCAGTACATGGTACCAGAAGTTGCAGAACTGATATCCTCAGGATCACTTTTGTGCTAGTCAAGCTCTCTTATCTTCTGTTAAATTTCTATTTTGTATCTGTGTCAAGTTGCATTGACGGCACTAGTTTCTGCTGATATTTGCTTTTATTATTCATTCCTTTTCTGCCTTTACCAGTTAAGACATTATTGGCTGTTACTGCTCAGTGATGAACTTATAGCCCATATTAATCACTGAATTGAGTTCCTACTGAAAAACCAGGTTAAGTTGGAGTCGCTGGCTTGGGATTGGAAGGGTGGGAACAGAGCGTGCAGGAAGTTGGGCTAACATTCTCCACAAGGAATTTGGACTCTAGTATAAATGCAGTATGCAGAGAATTTTACTAAAAATCAGGGGAAAGTAGATTATGTGACCTCTTCCCATTCTTCTTCAAAAATCAAATTCTCTTCAAAAGAAAAGTGATCAGGGATCAAGGCCTCAAAACATTGGTTTTTATGAATACCAAGTTTCAGATGATCACTCAGCGCAGAGTTTCTATACTGGGCAGATCAAATGTAAAATACGTGTTCAAATCTGTTGGCCACATCCATTCAATAGTTACTAAGCACGTATGTACCAGGCACTGTGCTGCTAGGTGTATAGTGGAAGCAAAGGCGTGGACTCTATCATTGTGAAATTTAATGGGCAGAAGGACATAAAACAACGATTCACACATCTAAATGAACATTTTGAGAGAAGCGTTAATTTCCTAGAGTTCTTTTAGTGTGGGGTCTGGTAATTCTCTTATACGAAGAATGACCAGAGGAGCTGAATGTAAGGCTTTGTTCTAATTCTGCAGAAAGCAGAACTAAGACTAATTAAACCGAGGCACATTCTGGCTCATAATCAAGAAGTTTCTAGAAGGTTTTCCCATCAGTGGAGCAGGTTGCCTCAAGAAATAGTTACCCATGACTGGTGGAACTGGTCCGACAAGGGCCAGGTATCAAGGATAGTTATTTCTGATTTTGCAGAACATTACATTTCAGTATCACTAAAATCATTTATTAAATGTGTGTGGTGCTATATTAAAGAAGATACAGATAAAATGATGTGGAAAGATTTCCTGTCATCTAGAACTTGCGGTATATTAATTTCCAAGCATTTCTATGATAAATTTGAGGGATATAGTTTCTTTTTCCTCTTGATTGGTTTAGATTGGGCCCTTATGTTTTTGTAACATTCATTATAGTGTTTTCTTAGGTTACAAAAGTCATTATTCCACTATGCCTGTCTGGTAGATGGACCAGAGACAGAGACCATCCCCTAGGTGTGTGGGTAGAGCTTATCTCTGAGACTAGAGCTTATAGACTCTGGAATTGGGGTATATTCTTGGGCAGTGGCACATGCCCCGAATGAGCCATTGTTTTTGCCATTCTGATTTAGATCAAAGTTTCTAAAAATTTATATCTAGTATTGTCAGATTTTTGCTTAGAATATTACGGCTTTTATTACCTTTTCTTCTTGTAGCTTAAAAATTAAAAATGAGCTTCAGGGGCGCCTGGCTTGCTTTGTCAGTGGAGCATGCGACTCTTTTTTTTTTTTTTTAAAGATCTTATTTATTGGGCGCCTGGGTGGCTCAGTTGTTTAGGCAACTGCCTTCAGCTTGGGTCGTGGTCCCGGGGTCCTGGGATCGAGTCTCACATCGGGCTTCCCTTGCTCTGCGGGGAGCCTGCTTCTCCCTCTTTCTCTGCCTGCCACTCTCCCTGCTTGTGCTCTCTCTCTGTCAAATAAATAAAACCTTAAAAAAAAAAAAAAGTCTTATTTATTTAAGAGAGAAAGCATGTGCACAAGCGGGGAGGAACTGACCCTGAAGCTGTCACCACTGAAGGATCTGTTCACTGGGTACATTTACTGAATAGTTTCATCCCTGTTCTTTAATGTCCCAGGAAGTGGGGAATGGAAGAAAAAGCAACATAACTGCAAATTGTGCTCTTTCCTTTTCATACATGGTTGTTTTGGTTTCAGACACTAACATTAAATTGCCCCCTTTTTTGTAAACAAGGCATGTTTGGAGGTTGATTAAATGAGGCTTCCTTTTTAGAGGGCATTTCATTTGGTGTACAATTCATGCCTTTGTCCTTGAAGCTACAATTCCTGAATTTGGCACTTTTTCTTTTTGTGTGTGTGTTTTAATTAAAATTCAGTCAAAGCTGGAAGAGGCCCTCAACCTGGCAACAGAATTCCAGAATTCCCTGCAAGAGTTTATCAACTGGCTCACTCTAGCAGAGCAGAATCTCAACATCGCCTCTCCTCCCAGCCTGATTTTAAACACTGTCCTTTCCCAGATAGAGGAGCACAAGGTAACTATGACGTTATGATATTCCCCTCCTTTTGAGAGGACTAGTTGGAAGAGAAGCTCCTCTCTCTTATCTTCAGTTTAAAAAGAGCAATATTTTCCCCTCAGGTGTTCGCTAATGAGGTCAATGCTCATCGAGACCAGATCATTGAGCTGGATCAAACTGGGAATCAGTTAAAGTTCCTTAGCCAAAAACAGGACGTTGTTCTGATCAAGAATTTGCTGGTTAGTGTCCAGTCTCGATGGGAGAAGGTTGTCCAGCGGTCTATTGAAAGAGGGCGATCACTGGATGATGCCAGGAAGCGGGCAAAACAAGTGAGTTATGAAAGAAAGATACCAATTTATTGAACAACCTTGGGCTACATGTGTGGAGTCTCTGGAATGATTTTCATAAAAGTATAGTTTGCATGGTCATTCCTTTTATAAGTTATTTTTTATATAATTGTAGTTCCATGAAGCTTGGAAAAAGCTGATCGACTGGCTAGAAGATGCAGAGAGTCACCTGGACTCGGAGCTGGAGATATCCAATGACCCAGACAAAATTAAACTCCAGCTCTCTAAGCATAAGGTAAAGCAGTTCGTGGTTCTTAGGTCCTGAGCTTGGTAGTCACTGAAGATTGCTAAAAATGGAGGTCAGAGCTAGTTAAAAGAAAATCAGTTAATGTTGGAAAGTCAAGGTGATGAAACCAGCATTCCATTTTATATCTAGACCGTGTCTAACCATAAGAGTTATGGTCATTTAAATAACAGCTCAAACAAAGTGATTGTGGGAGTAACCAGTTAAAACTATAGGCTTTTAGAAATTGTCATGCTGTATATGGTATAAACAAAAATTGATAAATTTCTTAAGGATAAGCTATTGTTCGTTCAAGAGGTAAGGACATTCATATTCTGATTATCAACCTGAATACTGAAAATTTTTTTTTGTTCCAAATCAAGACGTCATCTGACTTTTAGCATTGTTTTTTTCTTTCCTTTTTGGCAACAGGAGTTTCAGAAAACTCTTGGCGGCAAACAGCCTGTGTATGATACCACAATTCGAACCGGCAGAGCCTTGAAAGAAAAGACTTTGCTTCCTGATGACACTCAGAAACTTGACAATTTACTGGGAGAAGTCAGAGACAAATGGGATACTGTTTGTGGCAAGTCTGTGGAGAGGTGAGTATGATTATTTGCTTCGTGGGTCTGTGTATTATCCCAAAACTAACAAAGACTGTTACCGGATTCCATAAAATGGCCATAAAGCTAATTCATCAATAATAGGTTTTATAGCATCTTGATATTTCTAGTTCAGTCAATGAGAGTTATAAAATAAGTTGAGTAAAATATTAAAATTCTCTAAAGAGGGCACGTTCTGCATGGAGCACTGGGTGTTATACGCACACAATGAATCATGGAACACTACATCAAATACCAATGATGTAATGTATGGTGATTAATGTAACAATAATAAAAAAATGTTAAAATTCTCATTTTAAGCTTGAATCTTACTGTAGTAGAGAGAGAGGCCTATAAACTCAAGCCAACAGCAACAGAAGATTAGTAACTCCAAATATTTGTCAGTGACCAGTTTGTGATACTAACAGCTTCTCAGTGAGCTCGCTCACTGTGTCAGACAGCGAGCAAAATCTCTGCGCGTATCACCTCATTTAACCATCATAATGCCTGACCTTTACTGGGTGATTACTACTGAGCACGTGCCAAACAGAGGCTACTAATCATGTAATCCTCCTAACAACCACTGAGGGGGGGTACTGTTATTCCCATTTTACAGATGAGAAAAATGATCATAAAGAGGTTTCTTAACTCCCGCCAAAGGTCACTCAGCTACTAAGCAGCAGAGCTGGGATTTGAAGCTGTTGGATTTGGTTCCATAAGTTGTACTTTTATCCACTTGTACCCACTATGCTATGCTAAGTAATACGGTATCTTTGTATTATTTGTACTTCCATTTTTTAGATGAGGTGACTGAGGTTCAAACAGGTGATGAGACAGCCCAGGGTCACACAACTGGTGTAGAGCTGGTAGTTGAACTCCTGACTACAGACCATGACCAAAACCATCATCCTCTACCTAAGTGGTATAAAACGATTAACACAGACCTTAGGTGATTAGGGTGTATCCATGTGTATAACCGTTGGATTCTTTAGGTGCCAGGAGGGCATCTGTACCCACCTCCTACACTACACTTACTCCATTCTAGAGAGTAGTTTGATTAAAAATGTCTAGGCATATCTCTTAGTCACTTTTTACTCTATTTCAAACCAGCCCAGCACGGAGGGCCCCCTCTCTCTAGAGTTCAAGCAGTATTCCATTCAGCAGTCAGGACTGAGCCAGCCAAAGAAAAGGGATCTCTAAAAACAGTGAGGTTTGTGTGCTTTTCTCAGGCAGCACAAGTTGGAGGAGGCCCTGCTGTTTTCCGGCCAATTCATGGATGCTTTGCAGGCCTTGGTCGACTGGCTGTACAAGGTGGAGCCGCAGCTGGCCGAGGACCAGCCCGTGCACGGGGACCTCGACCTCGTCATGAACCTCATGGACGCCCATAAGGTGAGGGGCGGGAGGGGCGCCGCAGGGAGGCAGAGCCATTGGGTCCTCGGCCTCTGCAGGCCTCCTGCGCATGCTCCCATCCAGCCGAGAAGGGAAGTCTACACGAGCCTGTGTCTCTATTCATCGGAGAGACCTTGCCTCACTCTGTGTGTATTGCTGGGATTCTGCATCAGTCACAGTGAATTTACCCAAATTGCTTTGATTCAGATTTGGCAATGTGTAAATACCATCTTGGGGTTTGCCCCCCCCTTCCTGTTTGTATCTTTCAGTTGAGTCACACAATGAATTTAAACTGAGAACCCCTCAAGATCTCCATTTCCACTGACTCCTAAAATGAAAATGAGTTCTTTTTTTAGCTGCTTTTGACCCAAGCAAGCCCAACACCATGCACAGCAATGTTTATGTGTAACCTACACCTGTTATGTTAACCTCCATAATGTCCTCTTGTTTTAGCACAAAGCATTCAGCTTTACTTGAAATTACATCAAACTCTTACTGTGCGCGTGGCAAATGTGTTCTTACTTAACTCCCACAATTCTGGAAATTTTGCTATAACATCATTCCTATGTTATAAGTTAGGAAACTGGGACTCCAGCTAAGCAGCTTATCCAGGGCCACGCCCCTCATCTTTAGAGCCACCTCTTCTGGGTGGTTTTCTTACACATTGTCCTGTCTCGCTCTGCGTAAAAGATGCACAACTGGAACCTACTGAGGAGAATGGAACTAAGCGATTCCTTTCCTCTGTGGTTTTGCTTCTTGGGTTCAAAACATTTCTCAGCAAACTGATTCCTCTGTTTTTCTTTTCTAGGTTTTCCAGAAGGAACTGGGAAAACGAACAGGAACTGTTCAGGTACTGAAGCGATCAGGCCGAGAGCTGATTGAGAACAGTCGTGATGACACCACATGGGTGAAAGGACAGCTCCAGGAACTGAGCACTCGCTGGGACACTGTGTGCAAACTCTCTGTCTCCAAACAAAGCCGACTTGAGCAGGCCTTAAAACAGGTCAGAGACTTTAGTGGGGACAACCCAAGGGGGAGGATCTGAGCAGATTCATTCTCATTTCTTTATCAGGATCAGTTCCAGCCAGTCTCAAAATGAACATAAAGTGAAACATTGATATTCATTCTGAATGTTCTACAAGATTTTAACATTCATTTGTATTAGAGGAAAAAAAGGAGTTCAGTTGCTTTTCCAAGATCTGCAAATGAAAGATGACCTTTGTGGGGGGCCTTGATAGGGCCATCGGCGCCTACGATGCACTAATGAGTTCAGGGCCAACCCTTTTCCTGGCGTACCCCAGTGTTCAGGACCTTGGCTGCAGAGAGGTTCAGTCTGTTTTGCTTGGTTATTTCAGGCGGAAGAGTTTCGAGACACAGTCCACATGCTGTTGGAGTGGCTTTCTGAAGCAGAGCAGACACTTCGCTTTCGGGGAGCACTTCCAGATGACACAGAGGCCTTACAGGCTCTCATTGACACCCATAAGGTAATCCAGCCCCAGTGTGCAGTGACCCATGCCACCCACAAGGGTGAGGGCTGCCCGCCACTCAAGGAAGGCAGCTTTTGCTTGGGAATTGTGGACCTCATGTACAAAGCACTGGAACCGGAATGGGCCCAGCTTATTGGTTTATAGCAGGAATGAGAGGCAAATCACTAGTGGGTTTTGTGACACCTTGAAGATCATTCATTTGTTTTTACAAAAGTGTAATGCATGTTGGTTGTAAACAAGTGAAACAGCATGGTATCATATGAAGAAAACTGTGGACTATTCCACCCTCTCTAGACTTCTCACGTGCACAGGGCTTGGTTTGGCTTTCCTTATGTTAATCAGCTTCGGGCCCTGAGCCTCTTACCAAGCTTCAGAATACAATGCGGTATCTGGGGCCACAATCTGTCCTAATAAGATGGGAAATATTTCCTTTTTTAATTTTTGTATTACCCACTAGGAGATTTTAATCTTGGTTTTGGCATTTGGTATTCTGTTGCTGGTATTTTTAAAATATTATAGTGTTTTATAGCTGTCATTTGTCCAAGACAGTACTGTTTGTTTATACACACAGAAGTGAATTAAAACAAGATTTTTTTAAAAAAAGAGAAACTCAGAATAGGACGAGGGTCATGCCCAGCCTGGGAAAGGGGGCGCCCATCTATGTCCCTCCTCGTCTTTGTTACCTGTAGCAGAGGCAGTCATTCTTGTGTAAACCCTTCACCTCCTCACACCTGTTAGAACTGGAAAGAAAGTACCAGAGACACAGGGATGCAGGCTTGTAGGGGCCTGTATGAACACACACGGAGGGAAAAACTACACTGAAATCTTTCCCCCTCTCACAGTGTAAGCTAACAGTGCTGCCAGAGTAGATTTCTTTAGTTTTGGTTTTCAAATCTTTTTTGTTTAGGAGTTCATGAAGAAAGTGGAAGAAAAGCGAGCGGATGTTAGCACAGCAGTAGCAATGGGAGAGGCCATCCTGGCTGTCTGCCACCCCGATTGCATCACTACCATCAAGCACTGGATCACCATCATCCGGGCTCGCTTTGAGGAGGTGAGTTCCTGGTTTTAGAGGAAGACGACACGTGCCCCATATAGTGGGTTTATAGGAAAGAAACGCTACTGAGTTTTCTCCACCCACCTCCCAGATAAGGAATTTTTCATTCACTCTGGGTATCTCAATAAGAGTTAAGCTAGCATTTTAGTAATGACTGTTTTCTCGGTAATGAGCAGCAATTTGGAATAGCAATTTGCAATAATAGTGCTGGTGTAGTGATGTGTTCACTGATAAATTCCAGTGGACTCGGTTTTGTATTTTTCCCTCCTTCCTGAGAAATCCTGTGTATAATAGGACATGTGTACTAGATTTGTTTCCATGAGTGCTGATTGCTTATTCCAGCTCTGTCCCTGGAGTAAGGGTGAGGTCTCTTGAGTGCTTGAGTGGTCTTCCTCTTGAAGGTCATTGTTAGGATCAGATGACAAAATGGACTTTGGAAACAAAGGATGTGCTCGACTGAGAGAGGCGATGGTTTCTCTCTCCCCAGGTCCTGACCTGGGCAAAGCAGCACCAGCAGCGTCTTGAAACAGCCTTGTCAGAACTGGTGGCTAATGCTGAGCTTTTGGAAGAACTTCTGGCGTGGATCCAGTGGGCCGAGACCACCCTCATTCAGCGGGACCAGGAGCCGATCCCTCAGAACATTGACCGAGTGAAAGCCCTTATTGCTGAGCATCAGGTATCGTAGCCAGGTCTGGCGGCCGCAGGTGTTCCCTGCATGGCTCATGGAGCCCTATTTGGTTTTAAGTGGCTGCTTATCATATTCGCACAGACTTAGCAGCTTCAGACAACACATGCTTATTATCTCGCAGTTTCCATGGGGCAGGTGTCTGGACACGAGTCCTCTGGGTCCTCCTCTCAGGGTCTTACTGGGCCGAATCAAGGTGTCAGCCAGCTCTGCAGCTCTCGCCCAGGCTCACTCCAGTTGCTGGCAGAATCGGACTCCTTATGACTGTGGGACCCGGGTCTCCATTTTCTTGCTGGCTGTCAGCCAGGAGTCACTGTTGGCTCCCAGAGGCTGCCCTCAGGTCTCAACTGCCCAGCGCGCTCACAGTGAGGCAGTGTAGGTCTTCAGCACCAGCAGGAGAGGCTCTCCAACCTGCTCAGACGGATCTTAATATGGTAAAGTGTAATCAAGGAAGCGATTCTCCCATTCTTTCCACAGGTGTTACCCTCCCTCAAGGGGAGGGACTGATACAGGGCATGTACCCCAGGAGTGGGAATCCTATGGGCCATCTCGGAAGTCTGCCAAGGTTTTACACCTGGGTGCAGAAAGATCTCTTGCCTGAACCCAGAGATGGGCAAGAACAGCACATCAAACTAAACTGAATGAAGGAAAGCTCAGTTGAGCTATCTTCATAATATATCCTTGGGAGGCAAAGATGGTTTTTGACCATGATTGTTTATACTGAATGCAAGCGTGGCTCTTGTTTAGTTATATTGTGGACATACAGTCTTTTTAGTGTATGTAAATAATTAGCCTCACCTTTGAGAACCCCCTGTACTTCCTATCAAGGTGCCTACATTGACACCTTCTCTCCTGACTGAGAGATTATCTTCTTATTCAAGGCCACCCCTCTCCTTTCTGTGATCCCCTCTTTTCCTTGTGTCTTTAAGCTCTCCCATTCTATTTGCTCTTTCCTCCAAACCTTCTAGACATGTTCTCTCAACCCTGTGTTCCCTTGGAGTTACCCTCATTGTTCCCTCCCTCCTTTTTCAAACAAGCTTCTGGTCCCCTGTCTTTTCTCCTTGTTTCCCACTCACTCCCCAGGCCCTTGGGTCTGGCTCCCATCCCCATCAGACCACTAATACTATCCCAGTCACGTCCCACTGGCCAAATCCAACTGGTGCTTCCAGTCTTTGTCTTATTTGACATGTGACAGAGTTGCCTCTTCCTTCTGAAAACCTCTTTTGACTTCTGTCCTTCCATCTTGTTTTTCTCCCATCTCTCTGACTATTCCTTCTCAGTCTTCTCAGCTGATTCCTTTTCCTCTCTCTACTTGTTAGTGTTGTGTTTGCTTAAGTTCCATTCTTTTTTTTTTTTTTTTTTAAAGATTTTTTTATTTATTTATCTGAGAGAGAGAATGGGAGACAGAGAGCATGAGAGGAGGAGGATCAGAGAGAGAAGCAGACTCCCCGCCGAACAGGGAGCCCGATGCGGGACTCGATCCCGGGACTCCAGGATCATGACCTGAGCCGAAGGCAGTTGCTTAACCAACTGAGCCACCCAGGCGCCCCATCTTAAGTTCCATTCTTGACCCTCTTCTCACACTGCTGAGGTCTTATCTAGTCCAGCAGCTTCAGCCACCGCCTATAATCCAAACCTTTCACATCTGTTCCTTCATCTCCGGTACCATTATCTCCAGAAGTCTAGTTGTATAAACCAGAGGCAGCACCCCGCCCTCCCTTCCAAGCCTGCCTCCTCATCCACCCACCTTCTGTGATGTGTCTGGGATGCCTGCCTTTCCTACAACCCCCACATCTGGCCAGCCACCGGGCTCTAGCTGTCCTACTTCCAGAATACCCCTTGGTTCTGTCTTTCCTGCCCTGGCTCAGGCCCTCACCATGTTTTGCCTCAGTTACTGCAGTGGTGTCCTAACTCATCCCCCACCATGACCTGCCTTCTATACTGAAGTAGGAACCATAGCTGTAAGGATCTCATCAGGTCTCTTCTCTGAATCAAAAATAACTCAGTTGCCCTCCATTGCTCTCCAAATAAAATCCCAGTCCCTTAGCCAAACATAAGGCCTTAATGGATCTTTCTCCTGCCTACCTCTCCAGCCCTCCCTCCTGCCGTTCTTCTGATTGCATCTTGGGTTCAGCCAGTGATCTGAAGGGCCCTGGCTCACTACACTGTCAGGCTCCCTGGATCTCTGCACTGTGCCTTCTGCTGGGACTGCCCTCCACCCAGTCTTTGGCCAGTTCTTCATCCCTCACTACTACACCCAAGCCCATCTCTAGGCAGCTCTCCTTGGCACCTCGGCCTGTGGGGACTCATCCTCGGTCTGTTTTTGCCATCCTGGGTGACATTCATTGCACTGACTTCCTGATTTTCCTCACTCAGCTGTGAGCTCCTTGGAATCAGAAGCCATGTCTGATCCCTTTAGGTTTCCAGCATCTGATGAAGTGCCTTGCTCAGCCGTGTTTCCTGAAAGGAATGAGATAGTGTACAAAGGCATCTGTTCCATCATGAGCTTGGGCTTTGTGAGTAAGAAGGTGCTGGATTCTATCTTAGTCCAAGAAAACGCTGAACTCTGATCCCTGTTGTTTGTGTTTGACAGACGTTTATGGAGGAGATGACTCGCAAACAGCCTGACGTGGACCGGGTCACGAAGACCTACAAAAGGAAAAACATAGAGCCTGCTCACACGCCTTTCATCGAGAAATCCCGCAGTGGCAGCAGTATGTTTCTAGCCTCCTGTGTTAGGGTGTTTCATTCTGGCTGTTTGAAGATGAGCACTTTCCAAATCCCTGTCAAAAAACTTCTTTTTGGGGCTCCTGGCTGGCTCAGTCAGTAGAGCATGCAACTCTTGATCTCAGGGTCGTAAATTCAAGCCCCATATTGGCTGTGGAGCCTACTTTAAAACAAAACAAAACAAAAATATTTTTTTGAAACTCACTTTTCTTACACCACCACATAGTAACTATATTCCATTTTCTTGGACTGGCATAGAATTTTGAAGTGGTCAGGCAGATTGTTCTTGCAGGGGCTGTTCCATTGTTGTGGCCATCAGCACTAACTGTTTACATTGGTTTGCACTGACTTAGTTACCAGGTAAATCAGCTCCTGTAGAGCCATTGCTTTTTTTTTTTTTTTTTTTTAAAAGATTTTATTTATTTATTTGAGAGAGAGAGAATGAGAGCGAGTACATGAGACGGGGGAGGGTCAGAGGGAGAAGCAGACTCCCTGCCGAGCAGGGAGCCCGATGCGGGACTCGATCCCGGGACTCCAGGATCATGACCTGAGCCGAAGGCAGTCGCTTAACCACCTGAGCCACCCAGGCGCCCAAGCCATTGCTTTTTTGGTTGAGCTGACATTTCCTCAGTTCGCAAAGGACAGAATAAATGGAAGATATGAGACAAATACCTGTTGGCTGGGAGGAGGAGCAGTAGTTTTGAAATGAGTATGCTTAATACCGGAATATTGCTAGGTCCCAGGCTGCTTCTCACATTTACTGACTGGATACCATTTGAAAGGTGTCCTGAGTTAACACATCTGGCACTTTCTCCTTGTGAACTGACAAAACCAGCTTTTCTAATCTCGTGGTTGTTTTTCCTTTCAGGGAAGTCCTTGAGTCAGCCCACACCTCCTCCCATGCCAATCCTCTCACAGTCCGAAGCAAAAAACCCACGGGTCAACCAGCTGTCCGCCCGCTGGCAGCAGGTGTGGCTCCTAGCGCTGGAGCGGCAGCGGAAGCTCAACGACGCCTTGGATCGACTGGAGGAGGTGAGGCCCTGCCAGGCAGCCTTCCCTGGAGGGAGGCGACTTCTTACCTTCTGAGGCCCTCTTCTGACCAGCTTCTGTAGAAGTGAAAACAGACCAGTGTGAGCCAGGGCTCTGTCCTGCAGGCCCCCGGGCGGAAAGCCACACGGGGGTCACAACAGGGTGGGGGCCATAGCACCTCGCTGGGGAAAGCAGGCAGGCAGCCAGTCAGTCCATCTGGGGTCCGGCCTGTGACCCGACCCTCCTCAGCACCCGGCTGTGGTCAAGAATCAGGAGCATGACTTCACAGAGTTACCTCCGAGTGCATAGCTCATCACAGTCACGACCATTATTGGGCCCTCTGTATAAAGATAGAAGCTACGCGATTATGAAATAAGGGTAACTTGTGTGACCTTGTTATTCCACTAGTCTTCACTAATTACGAAAAGCAAATCTATTTTGAAGTGTCATTAACCAACCTAAAAAATGTAGTGCTACACTTCCTAGTTTCTAAAACAAACCTCTAATACCTTTTATATTTTTTTTTATTTGTGCGTATCAAAGCAGCTATGCCCGGAAGTGAGTGTTCTGTGTTTTTTGTTGTTATTTCTGTAGGTCAGTTGAGTTTTAAGCATATTTGGGTTTTGGCTTTTTCTTTTTTTCTCTATTCCTTCCAACTTTGGAGTTTGAAAGGCCAGGGGGAAAACTGCTGCGCTGCCTCAGCCATTCTGAGTCTGTCTCATTGACATAGTCAAGCAGCTCAACATCGCCTTGCCCGCCGCACAGGCCTGCTGTTGTCTGCCAAAGCCAAATATTTCACATGGAAGTCAGACGGGCAGTTTGCCCCCTCTGGTGCCATTCCAAAGAAACATGCTTGCGTGCAAGGTTGGATTCTTAATGCTTCCAGCCAGAACTCAAATGATCTCATCTCAGAAAATGATGGGAAACATGAGCCTTCTGACGTGGGCCTCCGTGTGATCATAGTTCTTATCAAAATCACGTAAGTGAGGAGTGCGAAGGACTTCTCTTCTGGGATAGAATCCATTCCCTTACATCTAAGAAGGTGATCCTTTGAAAAAGTGCAAAGGGAAAGCAAGGCTGGCTCCACCCATTCTTGTTCTCCGTGCTCCGTATTTTCCATGGTGGTCGTTCAGTTACTGTTTCTCGCACTGCGTCATTATACCACAGCTCATGTACATGGCTTTCAGTGAAGGACCCAGATTGTGCCTTCACCAAAGAGGCAACACATGGAAGTCATTGTTGATGCCCCTCCAGAAGGCCTGCATGGCTTTACTGAATGTCTGAAAGTCCGGGTATGCTCTGGGCAGGTTTGAGGATCAAAATAGTAAGTCTTGTTGACACCTACGATTTCTGTCTAGTTGAAGGAATTTGCCAACTTTGACTTTGATGTCTGGAGGAAAAAGTATATGCGTTGGATGAATCACAAAAAATCTCGGGTGATGGATTTCTTCCGGCGAATTGACAAGGACCAGGATGGGAAGATAACACGGCAGGAGTTTATTGATGGCATTCTAGCATCCAGTGAGTTCACTCATAGTTTCAAACATGGGTCACACCTGGATTCCTTGCACTTGGTGGAAGCAGGTGATATTCTGGCTAAATAGTCTTTTTGAAGTTAAAGCTATAGTCTTAAGTAATGTAACTGCTTATTACTAAAATTGGTCTATCATTTTGATGGAAAGAAGAATCTCATTTTGCTTGGAATTAAAACAAAACAAAACAGGTCTTGTTTGACACAGTGTGGCAAGTAAAACCCGTTTTAGGTATAGGTTAAGGAGCCAGCTTTGTGAATGATGAGGTTCTAAGTAAAATGTTTGAGAAAATATGTTTTTCGTAATACCAGTTTCTGACATCTGTATAACAGCTTACAAAATACATGATCTCATTTTTAGCAGGAAAAATAATTGAGGCATAAAGTAGTTAAGTGGGCACCTGGGTGGCTCAGTTGGTTAAGCGACTGCCTTCGGCTCAGGTCATGATCCTGGAGTCCCGGGATCGAGTCCCGCATCGGGCTCCCTGCTCGGCAGGGAGTCTGCTTCTCCCTCTGACCCTCCTCCCTCTCATGCTCTCTGTCTCTCATTCTCTCTGTCTCAAATAAATAAATAAAATCTTTAAAAAAAAAAAAAAAGTAGTTAAGTGACTTGCCAGGATCACAAAGCATCTCACAGCTGTGCTACTTTACCCAGCTGACCAGGGCAGGCCTGTCTGCAGAGGGGATATTTGAGGGAAGAGTTAGAGGCAAAGGGAACAGCAGATACAAAGCACTGAGGTGGGCACGAACTTGGCATGTTCTAGGGATAGAAAGATTAACATGGGTGGGGTGTCATGATCTAGGGGAGTGGTAAGAGATGAAGTTGGAAGGAGCAGCAGCAGCCAGTTCATGCATGGCCTGGTAGGCCCTGGGAAAGGGAGCAGATCTGACCTCTTACTCTAGAGGCAGTGGGACAGTGGGAGACCACCAGAGATTTTCACCTAAGAGATCTGATTTACATTTTAATAAATCACCCTGGCTACTGTAAATATTCACACTTCCTTTGGGAAGCAATTTGTTGAGAACCTAAGGCAGTTACCTAAACATAGAAGAAACTTCATCCTGTTCCAAATTGTCACTATCCTGAAATCATCGAAGTATGTAACAGTAGTTAAGAGTAGATAACTAAATTCTTATGTTGGATGGGATGGTAGGTCTATGGGTAGTTGTAATATTATGTCTTTTGGTATATCTGAAATACTGTTTAGTTTTTTTAATTGCATGGGGGATGAGGGAGTCTATAAGCAAAAACACCAAAAAACTTAACAGTGAGTAGTCTTTGGGTACTGTATCTCTAGGTGACCTTTCTAAAAAAAATTTTCTTTATAACGTTAATATTTTCTAAATGAACATGCATTGCTTTTCAGGAAAAAAGCAAAACATAAATATTTCTTCTTTCAAGCAGTATTTACATGCCCTCCAGCAACCCAAGTAAGCCCTCTGAGTTAATGTTCCAAATGTGATTACTTTTCTCCAGAGTTCCCTACCACCAAGTTGGAGATGACTGCCGTCGCTGACATTTTTGACCGAGATGGAGATGGCTACATTGATTACTATGAATTCGTGGCTGCTCTCCATCCCAACAAGGACGCTTATCGCCCAACAACCGACGCAGATAAAATTGAAGATGAGGTACCGGAAATTACTGTTATTTTGAGCACACTTTTGACCACAGTGGTTGGGCGCAATGGCTGTGTCAGCCCCGTGACTTATAAGTTATAAGATCATTATCTGGAGTTCTCTTTGGGGATCCCCATTTGGAGGATGATGCCCCAGAGGTTCTCTGGCTGTTGAGCACTCTCTTTCAGTCTAGATGATTTCTCACTCAAAAGAGTCACATCTCTGTCATTCCTCCAAAGTTCACAAACTTACACACACATCCTGGTTCATAGGTACCATGTTGCTTAGAACAGACTGCTCTCTCCGTCCTGGGCATCCCACATCAGGATCCAGGGGGACTGGTCTTCAAAGGAAGCATTTAAGGAGTAAAATGTGAAGTAATGTTTAAGATGGTGTGTATACCCACCAAGCTTTCTGCCTAGTTAAGGACTTTTTCACATTGGAAATCGCACCCATCACCTTGAAAATAGCAAATTCATGGGCGCCTGGGTGGCTCAGTTGGTTAAGCGACTGCCTTCGGCTCAGGTCATGATCCTGGAGTCCCGGGATCGAGTCCCGCATCGGGCTCCCTGCTTGGCAAGAAAAATGATTAGCCCTCTAACCCTACCCCCTCTCATGTGCTCTCTGTCACTCTCATTCTCTCTGTCTCAAATAAATAAATAAAATCTTTAAAAAAAAAAAAATAGCAAATTCATTAGTAACACACGGAAATCCTAGGATCTGTTGATCCTGAAAAGGGAGAGATTAGTGGGGCAGATCGTGGGTATGGCCCAGAATACACCAGGACTGACTTCTGGGACTCAGAGGCTCCTCAGTGGAAATTCAGGTCAGTTCTAATTCACTTTGATATGATTTTGATGCATATTAGCACATTTCTCTGAAGGAACTTGGAAGCAAATGTGTAACATGTATTAATTTGGAGTAAAGGATAAATGCATGTATCAAAAGCCTAAAATACCTCAAAGAGACATAATGAATAGTGTTCTGCTTGCATGTAAAAATATTTGTTTCTCTGAAGAGGAAGTCTTGTTTTAACCTTCACGCTTTTCTTTTTTTGTTGTTTACAACCAATAGGTCACAAGACAAGTGGCTCAGTGCAAATGTGCAAAAAGGTTTCAGGTGGAGCAGATTGGAGAGAATAAATATCGGGTAAGGAAGAGAAAAGCAATCCTTTGTGGTGGTGGTTCCTCCCATGTGGCCCCTAGAGGTGAAAGCAGCCTGACACACAGCAGACCAGATGATCCCACCTTCCCACTGCCCATGCTGGGAGGACCAGAGCCAGGGGGACTGAAGATGCGGTCTCTCTCTGGCCCTCATGTCTGTAGATTCCAAATGTCAGGTGTCCTGTTGGGCTAAGCTTAGTGCCCTACATAATTCCACCTGAAAAATAGTGCTGTATTTAGCTAACAGTAGCTTGTACTTGAGTTCCAGTGTAGGAGACATTTCAAAGTCCTCTTTTTGGCCGACCGAAGTCTTTAGGGAGACGGTGCCAGCTGTGCTGGTTATCTGAAGACTAACCCATCACCCCGAAGTGCTGGTCATTGTGAGCCTGAGTGGCTCCCAGGCTCAGAGAGGTCTGGAGGAACTCTGTCAGGGTCCCAAGGGATACTCTGTCTGCTCTGAGCTGGGTTACAAATAGAGCCTAGATGCACTAAGGGGACACCAGGCTCAGTAGTCTTCCCTGGAAAGCTGTGCCGTGGACATAATTTGACCATGAATTATGCTGTGTTTTAGCTGCTTTTAGGACCAGGGTTAGGGGATAGAAGGGATCTGAAACAGCACTTCTAAAATACATTTAGCAGCTTAGCCAGATTCTCTAAAGTCCTAAAGAGAACCTAGGATTGGTAAAGAGGGTTCAGATTTTGCAGTTATTTGCATGAGTTAGAAACAGGAAAATCTAGGTTCCATTAGTACATCAAAATGTCTTCAAAGTACACCAAAATCGCCCTGGGCTGCTCTTAACTGGGGAGTGGTGGGTGACTCTGCTTTGGATCCAGCCCAGGGCATTTAGTAAATAAAACCATAAGCAATCTTGTGCTTGTTTTTGTTGCTTTTTATTTTCTTGTTTTTTGTTTTTTAATTGTGAGAGAAATGCATTAACAAGAGCAATTAGTAGAGTGGAAAAGTTAGGTCTTACTATAATTTGTAAAACCATGGCCCCGTGGCAGGAGCTCTCGGAGAATATGCTTGAAGACTGGTAACGTGATTGCGTGATTTTCATTCCTTAGTGTTAATTTGACAAAATGTTCTCTTTTTTTCCTTCCATTTCCTCCATCCTTTACTCTTTTGTCTGTAGTTCTTCCTCGGCAATCAGGTACAGTGTGCCTTGCAACGTCCTCCTCGGTGGAAATGGTCTGTGTAGCCCATGCTGCCTGTTCTTTGCTGTGGGGAGAGGACATGATCTGAAGCATGCCTGGGTCACATCTGGTTGTATTACCAAGTGGAGAAACTGCTAACAAGGCTAATATTATAAAGCTGTCTTAGCAGCAGCAGCAGCGAGATATGTTTGTTTGTTTTTTTTAAGGAGATGAAATTTTCCATCCAAAATTAGATTGGCTAAAGACCGTATTATGCTGGGCTGGTTCAGGGGAGTTTGAAGCTACAGTATCAATCCATCCCACTTCCTTTTAGAATAGGAAATCAGAATAGCAGACAGCACAGTTCTGTCTTTTGACAGATAACACAAATTTCATAGCGTACACGAAATCAAAAAGTCTTCGGGTACTTAAGTACTCAGTCTGTTCAGATACCTTATTTACTTATATTTATAGTATTTATTTATAGTATTCTATAATTATAAGTTGCCTGAGAACCGCAGTATAACAATCATGATTTGGTCATAGCCTGAAATTTGCTGATTGTGTCCAGCTAGCCAGAATCTAAGGGATCAAATTAGACTTGCAAGAAAAGATTGAATGCTTTTGACTCCACTTGGTAATTCTAACCTTATAGATCTTTTTGAGGGCTCTGGGGTCCTGTGTCTTCAAATGGAAGGAAGTTGCATGGGTAAAGTCTGTCTTGTGATGTGAAATCAGAAACACTAACAGTTGATTTGAGGCCCTCAATCAGTGTTAAGTCCCAGGCACTGCCATAATCATTCACTACAGTAACATTCTGGGCCAGTGGGAAGAACAGAGGATAGAAACGAAAGACCAGGACAAAGAGGGTTTAAACTATTGCAGCACAGTGCCGAGGCATGCCTCAAAGCTGTGCCTGTTTCCTAATACCTGCATGTGGGGCCCAGGCGTCCTCTGAAGTGGCACTGATGTCCTGTCCAATGCTCTGCTGACTGGCAGAGGGTCGGACGAGTTAGTTCCAATGTTGGAACAGAGTCACGGGGCTCGTTTTGTGCCCGAGGCACCTGAGACCTGAAGGCACCCATGCTGACAGTCACACAGCTGGTGTCAGAGCCGCTGCGGGAACCTGGGTCACCGTGAGGGATTTTCCAGTTAAGGAAACCGAAATTACCCTGAGACATTCTCACTGACAGCCCAGTTCTGCCAGGTTCGCACGGGTCCCCAGTTTTAGGGCTGCGGTAGCCCCTTCTCCTGCTCTCACTCTGGCCTCGACACCCCCAGCCGCTTCAGCTGCTGGCTTGGATCAAGCCTCCTTTTCCCTACAGCTCAGCAGAAACAAGTTAGAATCTTCCAGAGGGGGCTTTAGTAAGAAGTTAAGGAGAAAAAAGGAATGAGTTAAGTGGAGTAACTCTAAGAGCTGACAGACACATAAACTACAGGACACAGTGACATTAGGGTAAAGTACTTCTTGGAGTCCCTTCCTGATTCACTGTGGAGGACATAGAGGCCCTGATTTCCTCCCTCTCTTCACCGATCCACAGAGAACCCCGAGTGACTTGAGTGACTCGGGCCGTCCCTGCTCTTGGGCGTGGCAGAATTCTCAACCTCTCCCACAGGGCCTTCCTGTTTTCTCTATTGGGCCAGCTTCTGAGGGAGGCACCCTCAGGGGCCAAAGGGGCAGCTTCCTTCCCGGGACAGGACGTTTATTCCCTCACATCTCTGGGCACCCACTTCAGTGCTTGTCATACTACACCATGCTGTTGCTGTGGTCACTCTGTATAAAATTCTAATAGCTGCGGGAGATGAGAGATGTTAAGACTCTTTTCATTTTCAAAGTGAAGGACTGGGGAGGGGGTGGTGTTTTTTCCAGTCACCTTGCTGCCTCTATAAACAGCACACTTGACCCAGTACAGAGGAATACAGAGAATTACCACAAATACATGAGTTTTGAGGGAGGTGGGTTATGTGTCCTTGTCAAACGTCTTTTCTGGCATTTTCAGTTTTTGTGCCTTGTTTCAAAGTTATGGTTCTCCTTTGTAAGTTGAGAAATCGTAATTAACTAATTAGTCCCTTCACTCCACCCCCTACCCCAACATTCTCCTTGAATTAAATAATTTTAGGAATGCTATTTCTCCAACAAATGTTTGATTTTTGTTTTGGGATCTCCGCAATGATTCCCTTTTGTTGCCTCTTACCTTATTTTAGGAAGAGGGTAATTTATGCAATGGGAAACTACAGATGTTAACAGAGCTGAGAAGCAGGGATGTTAAAGAAAAAAGAAAGAATAAATATCAGAAAGTCATGCTTGTTTTAATATCCCAAAATGATTCTTGAATACTATTTATAATCAGCATGGTAGATTACAATTTTAATTTTTTCTACTAAATTTAAGTATAAATGCCATAGTCATTTGCTCAGCTGGAGAAACTTTCTGCTTGGTGACATCACAATTAGAGAACACCGAGGGCTTATTTCTGAAAACCTTGTGTGGAAAATCAAATTTCCTTCTAAGCTTGTAATAATATTGATGCTTGCAAGGGTTTCCTTAAGGCTTGACATAGTATTTGCTGTTCTCCATTTACCTTTTGAGCACACTGTATTCAGAAGTTGACATCCACTTTATATCTACCTTTTGTGAAAGCAAACTGACATAACAATTTTACTTCTGGGTTTTAATTTGGGCAGAATGTTTAAAAGAATTGAGGTGAGCTAACATTTGTCTGTCCTCTGCCCTCCCCCTTTTGGTGCAGGGGGAGGGGGTGTGACCACCAAAAGTTAACTTCGTCCCAATAGAAAGAATATCGACACCAGTTTTACCTTGATAGCTCAGCTTTTCGATACTCTAAATTCTTTTGTGAAAAATGCCAAATAGTTAAAATTCTCCCCAAACTGTCAAATTATCATTTGTCTCGTCTGAATACAGTCTGCTCTGGGAAGAAGGCCTCGGCCTGCTCTAAGGCACACTCACTCATCACTCTCCCCTTGGTCCTGCAGTTCGGGGACTCCCAGCAGCTGCGGCTGGTCCGCATCCTGCGCAGCACCGTGATGGTCCGAGTTGGTGGAGGATGGATGGCCCTGGATGAATTTTTAGTGAAAAATGACCCCTGCCGAGGTAAGGAACCTTCTGAGCATGAATTACACATAAGGTATGCCCTCTTCACTGATCTTTCCTGCTTACACAAAGTGTCAGTAGTGGGTCTGTTTGGTTTTTATTTTGTTAAGCCGCCCAGATATCGCTCTACCAGCACAGATTAGAACTTGGGGGTGCCCAAGTAGACCAGGAAGAGAAAGCAAGAAAGGTTGATGCCATCAGGGGAGACAGGTTTCGAGGGACACAGTCACAAGAATTAGGAATTTATTGGTGTCTTCAGATGTTTCAGTTTGAAAGGTGTTCAGTTAGCACTAGCCTAGAAAGGAGCCTAATGAAGCCTTTGAGGTTCCTGGTTAGTGCTCCAGATCCCTCTGCCTGTAACTCCTTTGCCGGAAACCCAGGGAGGGTGTTGGGTCCCTCCCGTTCAGGGAAGGACTGGGGCATCTCCCTCGGCCGGGAGAGGGGATAAAGAACACCTAGCAGTGAGCCCAGACACTTACAAGAGAGTTGATCACCGAAGCAAGATCAAGGATTATGAAACCCGAAGGGCGGGCATGCCAGGCCCACGGCAGAAGAAGAGGGGACTGGAGTATGAATGCTGGCGCCTGGAGCTGCAGGTGTGAGGGCTGCCGCAAGGCCAGGTGAGCGAGTTCCGGTGCCGAAATCCTCCTCAACTGCATCCTTTCCTTTTTCCTGTTAGCCGAGCTACATGTGAGTACACAGGAGGCCCCCCCACTGTCTGCCAGTTTGTCTTTCTTGACCAGTTTCTGCCTTTCCTGCTGTCTCTGTTTCTTTGTTTCTTTATTTATTTTTTTTTTATTCTAGTTCACCATCCTGGGAGTAAAATAAAGCGCTCTGATTCCAGCTCTTCGATTTCCAGTCAGTCTCCCATAGGTTGGCTTTTAAGCTTTGTCCCCCTTACCTACACCCCAGCCTGTTGAGAATGGCTTTGCTTCAACTGTAGCACCTCCTGGCTCTGTGGTATCTGCTGCCTTCACGAATGCTTTGAAATAGCCAAGCTGTAGCTTTTCTAACTATTAGAAGTTGACAGGGCATAGAACACTTCTGTTGAAACAGTACCCGTGGAATTTGTTAGAGTTTCTATGTATTTAACCAATACTTACATAGTTTTTTAGGTGCCACATGCTGTTACAAGCAATTTAGAAATAATAACACATTTACACTTCTGTGAGGTATAGATTCTGTTATTGCCGCCATTTTACAGAATAGGAAATTAAAGTACAGAAAAGTTAAACAGCTTACCTAAGGACAGACAACTAATAAATGGCAGAGACAGGATTCCAATCCAAGACTAGTGTGGCTCTCAAGTCTGTGCTCCTGATCAAGGTGCCCTGTGTCTCAGAGGCTGACATACCCACCACCACCCCTTTTTATGTGTGGATTGCTGGTTCAGCCTGCGTAATTTACTTGGTAAGGCATATTTATAAACCTGGCAAACATGTTTACAGTACAGTTACATAACTTCTTTGGATGTGATTTATAGTCTTATTTTGAAGTGTTTAGAGCTAAAGGGTGCAGTTCTCACATGAATTCAGATATGCCATAGCTTCTGTTATTTTAAATGTCATTCTGCATTTACTCCAGTAAACAAAAGTAATTTTCATTTGTGTGTGTGTGTGTGTGTGTGTGTAAAAAATACAGTGAATTTTGAAAGCATCTGTTCGGATAAAAACTTCAAAGGGTTTAATCAGTTTTAGAAGTTACTATATTGCAAACTAATTCCCTTGAAATAAAAGATCAGGAACAGGAGCCATATATATGATTTTAACCATAACTCAGTAAAACGACGTTATTCTTTTGCAAATCTGTTAGTAAGGTTTCATTTTCTCTGTCCTGTATGACTGGACTAAGCAGACAAACAGAAGAGATGCTGCATGTGACATTTGGAATCCGGATTCCTTTTTGCTGCCTGCTGTACTTGCTCCGTTGACAGTAACTTTGTGCTGATAGCCCAGGGCTACCCTGCTTGCTTTGTCCTTATGTTACTAGCTAAACACTGGAGTTCCTCCCCCAGGAAGTTTGGGAGGGCCGTCTAGTACCTATTCTCTATGGAACATAGTAGCCTTTTCAGCATCCCTGGGAGCAAACAAGGTAAGGCTTTCCTCTGTGCCTCTCCAGGAGTGCCCTCCTAGCACCCAGGAATCCTCTCGATTCCCCTGATGGCAGAGTCCGGAACTGCCCAGCAGTCTTAGATGTCATAAGTCTACTAGTGGCAGGATGAGTACTTCTAAGTTGCCCGAGGCGGTGAACACTTAAGGGCTGGGGTGGCTGTACGAAGTGACTGGGGAGAGCATGGACATCACAAAAAGAAGGGTTCCCTGAAGCTATCTGGGATTCTGTGAGGATTCATGTGGCTTCTAGAAGCACTGCTTAGGGGAGATTCTGTATTCGTTTGTGTAGCATTTCCTTGGCCGTCTGGACCACAGAGAATGTTAGACCGAAGCTAGAACACAGTTGATGACAGTATTGTATCAACGTGTATGATCATTTGTTGCCTCCTTCCACACAGCTGTTTCAGAAGGCAAGAGATAGATCAGACTGCACAGTGCTCTAGCCAAATGTGTTAAGTGAAAATACTCAACTAGGTAGGTTCATGACGCTGCCAGAAATTGGAGGTTTCAGTTTCTGAATTCATCCATGGCAGAGGAGATCATGATGGTTTGGATGGTGATGAAAACAATGCCTAAGGAATAGGTCCACCTTTATCTAAGGTGTGTTTTTGAGCATTAGATGATTTAGTTCCCCCAAATAAGTGAAGATCTAGAAAACTTCATTTATGAAGATTTGAAAGACAATTTGACTGAGAACTGATTGTTTTTCTTTCTTTTTTTTTATTGTAAAATACACATAACATAAAATTTACCATCTTAACCATTTTGAAGTGTTCTCTTCAGTGGTTGTGCTACCATCACACATCCATGGAGCTCTTTTTGTCTTATAAAACAAACTCTGTACCCATTAAATACAGCTTAGAACTCAGTTGTAACTAACCAACATCACGTGGCCAGCCTGAGTTCCTTAGAAAATGGTGGCCTCTTTGGTGTTGAAAAACTGAAATGGTTGCCTTCAGGGCCTGGCCTCCAAGACGTGATCTTCAAAAAATCATGGTCAGGTGCTTTTGGAAGACACTGGGTTAAAGCTAAGAAAATTTCTTTACTGTAGGACTTCCCAGAGCTTACAAAATGTTGATTGCATTCGAGATCTCCCAAGGCGGGGCGGCGGGGGGGCGGGTAGTATTTATTGAACTCTTTTTGTAGGAACCCCCTCAAAAACCTTAGATTGGGAAACTCTGCTGTAAACAGTGGAAGACCAGGGAAGGATTTTGAGTCATTCAGAATTACCAGGTTTTTATTTAGAATTCCATTTTGGGGGATGAGATGAGAAATGAGACCAGTTGGAAGCCTGTTACAGCCATCCAGGGTGGAGGAGATGCTCCATGAATCACATAAGGGTATGGGGGTGCGGGGGGGGGTGGGAATGCTCTGGGTATTTGAGAAGCTTTAGAAGATACAATCAGTAGAACAAACTGCCATCAGGAGGAAGGGACCTATGTTGACTCCCCAGTCTCTGGCTGTGATCATGTCTATTCAGTCATTGGATACAAGGTCTGACATCCAGGCAGGGGTCTGAGCAGGGGATACAGTTGGAGTCAGGCATGACCATATGATGGTAATGAAGTCAGATGGGTGAACTTGTCACCACCAGGTTCAAAATCTAAGAGGGAGAACAGGACTGTGAACAGAACCAAGGGAACATCAGTGTCTAAGGATGGGGGGAAGGAGGAGAAGAAGGAGAGCGGGTGTCCTGGAGCCAAGGGAAGAGATTTTTTCAAGAAGAGAGCAGTTAGTAATCCCCCTGCGTGCAAATTACATCAGCAGAGAGGTGTCAGATTATCAGAAGAGTTTTACCTGTACACATAAATGTGTGCACACACATTCTTAATAATAGAGCATTAGCCAGGGTGAAGTAAATTCAGTATACTCCTACATTATTTTGGAGAGTGTACATTGGTATAAAATTTGGGGGATCAACTGACAAATATCAGAAATCTCATGTGCATCCGTTCTCCTCAGAAAATCCACTTGTAGAAATTTATCTTAAGGAAATCATCACTGATATGCACAAAAACATTTTACAAGTAGTTTGTCACCACTTGTGACATTGTATGCAGTGTTTTAAAAATTGTAAGGAAATTAAAAATACAACACAGAGTTAAATAAATTGACGTCTAGGGGCGCCTGGATGGCTCAGATGGTTAAGCGTCTGCCTTCGGCTCAGGTCATGATCTCAGGGTCCTGGTATCGAGTCCCACATCGGGTTCCCTGCTTGGCGGGGAGCCTGCTTCTCCCTCTCCCTCTACTGTTCCCCTTGCTTGTGCTCTCTCACTCTCTCTATCAAATAAATAAAATCTTTAAAAAAAAAATTGACGTCTATATGATGAAATAACACTTTGCAGATAGTTGAAATTATGCAAGATCTGTCAAGCATGGAGGAATGTTCCTGATGTTCTTGTATTTAAGAATATATATACACAGTTGTGCACAGGAATAAAGACACACGAACTAAATTTTAATAGTGATGGCCCTTAGGTTGTCAGATTAAGGAATTTTCAGTCTCTGTACTTTTCCATGTATTTCAACTTTTGTACAGTTTAAAGTTACCAGTAATAATTTGCCAGGGTGATTGGGGTGGCGTGGTGGGGATGGGAGCCTGGGGCGGGTGGAGAGCCACTAGTGTAGGTGAGGGTATGAGGAGCCGGGGGGTGGGAAGAGAGCTCAGGTGGGAGACGTTGGTTCTAGTCCCAGCCCTACCACGGCTCTCCTTGACTTCAGCCTCTCTGAGTGCTTCAGGTCCTTTGTCTGTGACAGGGACGCTGACCGGTCACTGGTGACAGTCTAGTGCCCTACTGCATGTGTCACACTCTGCAAACGGTGCAGTGCATATGGAGAGCGTGATGTTGTTATATTGTGACATGTTAAATGCCATGGACCTCATCTGAGATGCCATTTCAGAGTCTTCCTCTTGTATCACTGTGTTGTTCTTGTCTGGGAGGGTTGGCACAGAGGTAAACTATTAAATGTTTACTAGGTTTAAACTGCATATCTGAAGTTCGGTATGGCTCAGGGTCACAAGCAGCTCTTTTGGGGTGAACCCTCAGCTGAGTCATGATTTTCATTCATCACTGTTAACTTAGTGCTTTTGCTGTGTGCCCACCGTTAGGCTGGGCACATTAGCAAACACAAGATAAATAAGTGTAAGTCCTGAATCCATAGTTACTAGTGATGGAAAGTCTTACTGAAGTGCCTGTGTTAGTGCTGAAGGAAGTTCTCTTGGAGAATCATTAGTGTAGACACAGACGAAAGCACTGAAGTCCAGAAAATGGATGAGTAGAGAACCCAGGACCAGGGAATGAGCTGTGAGGGGCACATTCTGTTGGGGCCTGAGGAGGAAGGAAACAGCTTAGCATTCAGACCACCCAGACATTGGGATCAGCCTAAGGAAACTGAGGCCTGGAGCAGGAAGACCTGGTTGGTCGCTGAGCCTAGACTGTCACTCAGGTTGTGATATCCACGTCAGCCCTTTTAACCGGACACTTGGATATGTTATGTCAGCATAGTATATTGAGAAGAATTTTATTTAGGAATTTGGAACTACCCTGCTTGGACACCCATGCAACTTTATTTAAAATCTGACTCTACCAAGATCACTCGGTTCCCTTGAGGACATGCAGGGTTGGGCAAAAGAGGGGGTGGGCATAGGTACCTCAGATCTGCTAGAGTCGTGGTTCTTGGCCGGAGTGAAAAATCTTACTTAGAAAAGAACGACAAATGATTGATTCCGTTTTTCTGAGTTTCACCAGTGGTCGTGTTTGTTCAGATCTACCTAGTGTAGTCTAAAAAGTAAACAGTGCAGGATGGATGACAGTAACACCTTTTGGTGAGAAATAATTTAAGGACATATTCCAGAGGAATTATTTCTTTTAAATTAGTAGTGTCTTTCACATTTAACATTTATGTTGGCCATCCTTGGAATCTTCTGACCAAATCCAAATTTTAAGTTCTGGTCTTAGAGCTGCAGAAAGCCATTAGGACAACACCTATTGGCCTTCAGAGCAGTTTCCAGATTGTTTCCACCGTGACATTCCTCCCACTTGCCGTCGTCCCTTCAGCTTCTTGTTGCTTTCAGTTTTTGACTTAACATTTCTCACCAGCAAGTTTTGTGCATGGTCTTGATCTTTCTCTCTCTCCTCCCACATGTTTACTTCTTAATGATTTTATCCTGATCTTTTTACTGTCCTGAGTTCCTGGACCCCTTCCCTTAGGATTACTATCAACTGAATTCAAATAGAAGTGTCTGGACAATGTTGATTTCAATGATTTCTTTTCTCCACTATTTAGTTACCATGTATCCTGCAAAATCTGAGCAAAAAGTACACATGTACTATGAGAGAGAAAAGAGGGGTTTTGATTTTAATGTCAGAGGTTTGTGCACTGCTGCATCTGCTTTCTTTGACAAGTTACGTATGGTGTGCTTGCCCCAGGGGACAGCGGCAGGGCAAGATCATTACCACAGAATGGCATGGTATTTTATATATAAAGTTCAAACCAAGGGGCTTACTAGTTAACTCTCTGCTCTGGGTAAGAGTCACGACAGACTGACAGATCGTGAATTTATCTCTACTTCAGAAGAGTCCACAGAGGGTACTAAACCTGTAGCCTATGTAACTGTGGTCATGGGGTCAAGCAGCTGTGTGGCCATCAAAGATACATTTTGTAAGATTCAGTGACATTGTATGTGTGCGTTTATTCCTTTTTTTAGCACGAGGTAGAACTAACATCGAACTTAGAGAGAAATTCATCCTACCCGAGGGGGCATCCCAGGGAATGACGCCTTTCCGGTCACGGGGTCGAAGGTCCAAGCCGTCTTCCCGGGCTGCTTCGCCGACCCGCTCCAGCTCCAGCGCCAGTCAGAGCAACCACAGCTGCACGTCCATGCCGTCTTCTCCCGCCACCCCCGCCAGTGGCCCCAAGGTAGGGATGCCCTGGCTCGCGGCCTCCTTCCTTGGTCCCGATTTACAGGGGATTGTTGTTGAGTGTAGCCTCTGCGCGCCTCCAGCCAGGAGAGGAGCGGGAGGACCTACAGACCAAGCTCTACCTACACCAGCCTTTCCAGGCCCCAGTAGATAACAGGACCCTTAGGATTTTACTCTGAAGGACGTTTATTAAAATATGAACTCAGATCGTTAAGTCAGAAACACTTTTTGCCACATACTTTCCACCCAGAGTTGCTAATTTTGGAAATCCAGGCATTAGATGCTAACGGAGAAGTCTGTCTGTTTTGATGGGTTGCTTGTGAAGAATGCCGTTGCCTCTCTGCCTGGTCCCTTTTATCCTGTTGAACTGATGCCCGTTTTGTTTTGTTTTCTGTTTCTTTAAGATTCAGGGTTTTCTATTTATTTTTCATGTTCCCAGTTTGCTTCCTTACTGTTCCATTTTCAATTGTCCCCGTCCTTCCCTTTGGATTTCCATTTCGCAGACTCCACTTCAGTCCTCTCGCTGTTATGACAAACCCTGGTTGGTAAACAGTAAAGCTGGCCCCTCTGGCAGGGACAGCCATTATCCTGACCTCCAGCTGCCCAGCCCCGAGGTAGAGTATGGTTTTGCTGACTAAGGACACAGTCAAGATGAGGCCCTCGCTAATGCCCAGACCTTGATCGGCTACTCTTCCTGACACGAATCCATGCTCTTTTCCATCTCTGTGGTGCTTGCTCTCACAGCTGATTTGTCTAGTCAGGTGTTTTTCAGGGGTTTCTAACTCGGACTCACCAAACTTGGAGATAAATAAGAGATGCCTAAAACCGGATCGTTGAAGCTTGCTAACAGTCTTGAGAATGATGTTTTTTCCCAGGGTGATAAACAGTCATCATTCCTGGTGATCTGTTTATGGATATTGTTTATAAAACTCGGGCCTCTTGGAGTCTCCAAACATGAGCTACCCAGACGAGTTACGAACACTTGAAATTCAACTGTGGTGCATGTTCAGCCGTGTTCTGTCTTTGCTTAGAACAGAAGAGTGGCTGGCGTCCCCTGCCCTGAGCCACATCCCCCGGGTGGTTGGTATCACCAGACTGGTCTGAGGTGTGGGTGCTGCCTATGCCGACTTCAGCCAAGCCCACTATCAGAGGACACTGCTCTGAAGCTCAGTTTTGAACTTGTGAATCTCTTGGCCTCGTCACTTGGGTGTCCGAAGCCTTGATCTGATACACACACACTGGCAGTTAAGCATGTTTGAGTGCAGTCATTAAAATGCCCAAAGCATTTTTGGAAGAGCAGTGTTTCAGAAACCAGTCACGGGCCAGTGGCTTGTCTGATAGCAGGAAGATTTGCATTCTAGCTCCCGCTGGGAAATACTGGATTCTTGGGCCTCAAGAGAGAGCACTGCCTTCAGTCATGCAAAGCTTCAGCCCGAGAAAGCGGGAAATGTTAAGAAGCCGGTGCCTGTGAATGGGCTGCTGCTTTGGGATTCATCCGCTCCAAGCTAAACCTCTAGTTCAGAAATCTGTCTGGTTCAGAACATGACCTGGGGACCTATTGCCACCAGAACCCCAACACTCAACATGCTTATCTTGCTTTTCTTCTTCCTTGATGGCTCCAGTTTCATGAAAGTCTCAAAAGTTCTAAAATTTTAAATGTTTTAATTATAAAGTACAAAATACTCACAGGATTCGAATAGACCAGCCTTTTTGTTTTGTCTTAAGGTTGTACCTTTTGTTTTGTTCATTTCGAGGTTTCACCTTTCCTTACCTGTGGGTATTGTACAGGCCGCGTCCTGGCGTGGACTCCCAGCCCAGGGGCTCCAGGGCTGCGGTCTTCCTGGCGGCCATGGCCGTGCGCACGAGTGATAGCTTCTGAAACTGGTGCTCTTCCTCCTGTTTGCCAGGAGGGTTTGTGCGTGAATGTTAATCACTTTCTGCCGCTTCTGCTTTTTCTTTCTAAATTAAAGAAATACAAGAAACACAATGAAACAGGTTGCTTTACTCTTTCCATTTATATGAACATCTTAAAGGTCCTGGAAAACAGTTTACACAATTGATTTCAAAGAAAAATTAGAACAGTGTGTTGTGGCATGAGTGGTATTTAAAATAGACTTAAAATGTTCCTTCTCCAAATTAAGTCTACTACTATCTTTTAAAAAAAAGGCAAAAAAAAAAACACTCAAGTGGGAAATGTTGCTCCTCCCGGTAGCAGTAATAATGTATATCTATCCAGCAGCTCTTTTTCCACTAGGAAGTGCTTCTACACATGATTTATTCATTCAGCAAGTTTTTATTGAGCCCGTGCTCTGTGCCAGACACTGTTTAGGTGACCGTGAACAAAACAAACTCCCTGTTTTTGCGGAGCTTAGACTTGAATGCAGGCAAGGCTGCAAACAAGGGTAGGAGCGCCAAATCCTGAACAGGGGAGAAGAGCAAGGTGGGTATCACTTTAGTAGTGCGGCAAGACCTCTCTGATCGGCCGTTCCAGCCACAACACCCGAAGGAAATGAGGGAGTGAGCCACGCAAATACGGGGTGGCCCAGTGGATTGAACAAGAGGGAGTGTGGTTATCTGCATTTTTTTTCCAGTGAAGAAATAGATCTTGGCTTGACTAAAATTTCTGCATGCACACATCTAGTGAGAGTGTTTGGGGTGATCTTTGCATCTCCATACTAAATATTTTAGGGCTAGAACCCATCTTTCAAATTTTTAACCCCAACACTTTGACATTTGGGATTATTTGGATTTTTTTTTTTTTTGGCCATTTTTTAGTGGAGATTTGTCAGTAACATAAAATTTGTCAGTAAATTTCAAGTAGAAGTTTAAAAAACATTGTGACATTTTAAATTGGAACATGAGACCTTTTGTGGGGTGGAATTATTAAAATATATGACCTAGGGGGCGCCTGGGTGGCTCAGTTGGTTGAGCGACTGCCTTCGGCTCAGGTCATGATCCTGGAGTCCCTGGATCGAGTCCCGCATCGGGCTCCCTGCTCGGCAGGGAGTCTGCTTCGTCCTCTGACCCTATCCCCTCTCATGTGTTCTCTCTCTCTCAAATAAATAAAATTTTTAAAAAAAAATAAAAAATAAAAAAAAAATAAAATATATGACCTAGGACACTTTCAAAATAAATCTTTGTTTTCCTGGACTTTTAATTTGCTTTCCAATCGATTAGATGTGAGGAGGCTTAAGTAGACCTTTTAAAATTGAATTTCAGAAATTCTACCTAGTAAATACGATCTTTTAAATCTTTTTTAAGGTTATTCCATCAACAGGCAGCAAGTTGAAACGACCAACACCAACTTTTCACTCTAGTCGAACATCCCTTGCTGGTGATACTAGCAATAGCTCTTCCCCAGCCTCCACAGGTGCCAAAACGAATCGGGCAGGTAAGTACCTGCCCCCCCCCCCACCACCCGTCCATAGGCTTTGGGGTGAAAGGAGGGGGGAGTGGCCAGGCTAAGAATTGGGGACCAGCAGCCTCTGGGCAATGCCTCCCTGCTCTCCAAGGAGCAAGTAATGAGAGCAGCACTAGGTGTGATGTCCAGAGAGCCCCACAGATTCCGTGTGGCTCTTTCCTTTCCCTTCTGCCACTGAAGCTAGCCATAGCCCTGCCTTCTGAGAGCAGAGGCTTCCGTGGCTAAGGCCGGGCACCCTGTTCTGGATCTGGAATGACCATATTTGAGAGAATGTAGAAGGCAGGAGGGGTGTCCTGAAGTGGGCCTCCCTGAGAAGGCCGCTCAGTTTTGGGACTGGCAGTTTGCTAGTAATTTTTCCAACACTCTGTATTTATGATAACTGCTGGCAAGTTGAGAAAGTCAGGGAAAGATCACATCTGTTCACCTGTTGATGTTCCTCATGGGAACCTCGGAATTGGCCTCATTTCTGGCCCTCTTTTGGCCCATCCCCGACCCCCACCCCCCCCGGGGGCCACACGAGGTCACTTGTGCTGCTGAGAGAAGCTGGCTTCTGATCCTCAGGAGGCAAGCTTCTCAAGCAGAATCACAAAGCCAGAAAAGGTTTCAGGCAACTGCCATGTAGATGAGGACATAGAGGGTCCAGAAAGGCTCTGATTCGCCCCAGGGTCACACAGACTATCAGGTGGTATTAGAGTCAGAGCCCTGACCTCTGGTCACTTGTTCTCGCCGCCCCTCATGTTGTCTCTCATTAAGTCTGCTGCTTTATTCTCCAATTCCAGACCCTAAAAAGTCAGCCAGTCGCCCTGGGAGTCGGGCCGGGAGCCGGGCCGGGAGTCGGGCCAGTAGCCGGCGCGGGAGCGATGCCTCGGACTTTGACCTTTTAGAGACACAGTCCGCTTGTTCAGACACTTCGGAGAGCAGCGCTGCGGGGGGCCAGGGCAGCTCCAGGAGAGGGCTCAGCAAGCCTTCCAAAATCCCCACCATGTCCAAGAAGACCACCACTGCCTCCCCCAGGACTCCAGGTCCCAAGCGGTAACGCTGCACAAGCACCCCAAGCCTCTCTCCACTTTGAAGCCTGCTCCGTACATTGGGTGTATATTTATTCTGAACAGGAGAAGTTATATTGTTAAAAGTGTAAAAGAATAATTGTGTTATGAAGCTGCCTTATTTTTTTTCTTTTTGTAAGTTACTATTTTCATGTGAATATTTATGTAGATAAAATTTGCCTCCTGGTAACCCTGTAATGGATGGGGCCCAGAAATGAAATATTTGAGGAAAAACAAGTGAGAAGGTCAAGATGAGAATGTGTATTAAAAAAAAAAAAGCGCCTCTAAATAGGGTTTCTGCGCGGTGCAGGGTTGTAAACCTGCTTTATCTTTTAGGATTATTCCTAAATGCATCTTCTTTATAAACTCGACTTGCTGTCCCAGCAAGATAAATTATATTAAAAAAATAAGAATCCTGCAGTGTTTAAGGAACTCTTTTTTTTGTAAATCACAGACACCTCAATTAGCAAGAACTGAGGGGAGGGCACTTCTAATCGCTTTTTCCGGTGTTTTTAATACTGTGTGATTTTAGCTGAAGAGAGGGAACCTCCTCTGGTAATGTTTGCACATGATCAGCAAAAGGAGTTCATTGCAATACTTTGAATACTGTCTCAGTACTGGGTGTTTAAAGGACAAATAGCTGCTAGAATTCAGGGGTAAATACGTTCAGAAGACGTCAGAACATTGGGATTTTTAAGAGTCCTGGTTTGTAACTTCCTATCCAGCCCAGCCACCAATAACTCCTGTGCTCACCGGGACCCAGGCCCTTGGCAAGGGGAGACTCCTTGGTGGCACTGTGAATTACAGATTTGTTTATCTGCATTTTTGCTATTTATTTAAATGGTCGATCAACTTCCCACAAACTGAGGAATGAATTCCACGAGCCTATTCTGAAAATGTGGACATAAAACAAACACTTGCTCGTCCTTTAAAGGAGTTCACCAGCACACCTGTTAACAAGTCCCGTTTGCTTCCGTCTTTTTTTGTGAGTAATAAAGTCAGCTGACCAAGTGACCATGAAGAGGGGCTGTCTGGGGCTCCTGTTTTTTAGCTGCTGTTCCTCTTCAGCTCCGACCATGTTGCTGTGTGATTATCTCAATTGGTTTTAATTGAGGCAGAAACTGAAGCTCTACCAATGAACTGTTTAAAAACAAGACACACTTTTGTATTAAAATTGCTTGCAGTAACAAATTTGTATTTCCTGATTTTCTTCTCAACTATTACCTTATATATAACCTGTTACCCTGGGTATGATTGTGTTTTAGGTACTTAAATGCATTATTCAAATCAAAATATCTTGGTGGATAAATTATGGAGCTCACTAATAGATTTTTTTTCCTTATTTATTTCATCCTTGTTAATTTTAACAAAGCAACAAAGAAATAATCTGGCTATTGTTAATATAAATCTGTAGGGAATCTGCTCCACTTAGCTGATTACACAAATAATAATATGTAAGAAAATTTCTGTATTAGAAATCACAAAGATCCCGGGTTTGAGAGGATGGGGCCAGTTTGCCACAGTAGGCTGAAATCTCTGGTTAAATGATAGATTTACAAAAGTGAAAGCAAAATTGGTCATCAAATCCAGCTCCTTTCTTTTCCAGATGGAGACACTGGAATGGGAAAGTGGGAGAGAGGGTTATTTGCCTAAGATCACAGAATTAATAAATGGCAAAAATGGCCCTTGAATCAAATCATTGATTCTCTATTTAAGCCTGGTATTTCTATTTCCTCCAGCCCCTAATTGGCTTTATAATAATTAGAAATCAAATATTAAGTAATTCTAACAGGAATTAGGCTAGGAAATAACTTGAGAGGTAGGAAAGAGGGGTTTCAACTCAGGCCACCCGAGTTTCTGATCATTAAGCCATACATACTCCTCATATGATCAGGAATTGGCTGAGATGGATACATGTTTACCACAGCAGTTTGATAGAATTTTTTTTTTAATTTTATTTATTTGACAGCACAAGTAGGGGGAGCAGCAGGGAGAGGGATAAGCAGACTCCCCGCTGAGCAAGGAGCCTGGCACAGGGTTCCATCCCAGGACCCTGGGATCATGACCTGAACCAAAGGCAGCCACTTAACCGACTGAGCCATCCAGGCGCCCCTGCCACAGCTGTTTGAACCCAAATATCCAGATTAAAAGAAATCCAGCCTGATGGATTCTAAAGGAGGTGCTTACTCTATTCCCCCTAGAATTAAGTAACTTCAAGCTGCGCGAATTGTGCAGGATAGTGTTTTCACCCAACTTTGCTTCTCCTCCAGGCTTCCTGGCAGCAGAAGCATACTTAAAACAGCTTGACCTCCATCCTTTCAGATTCTGGACTGTGATCACTTTTTTTTTTTTAACCAAGTAATTCAGGTTTTCCCTTAGTCTTTGCAACAAAGCTCAGCTAGTGGTGGAATCTGCACAAAGTGTATTTCCGTTCAACAAACACCTACATGCAAAGCCATATAGAGAATACAGGGATGCCAGAACAAAAGCTTAAAATTACAGTTCTGGGATACCAGTGCTAAACATGTGATACAAATTTGGTGTCTGCTGGGTAGAGAGGCAGGAGTCCCTGGGGGTTTTTTTTGTTTTTTTTTTTTAAAGATTTTATTTATTTATTTGCGAGAGAGAATGAGAGACAGAGAGCACGAGAGGGAGGAGGGTCAGAGGGAGAAGCAGACTCCCCGCCGAGCAGGGAGCCCGATGCGGGACTCGATCCCGGGACTCCAGGATCATGACCTGAGCCAAAAGCAGTCGCTCAACCGACTGAGCCACCCAGGCGCCCCCCTGGGGTTTTGAATGATAAAGCAACAACAGCTAACATTTACTGACTACTTGCCATAGGCCAGTCACTGTGCTAAGTGCTCAGTCTACAACCCCACCGTCGTGACCCCATTCACAGGTGAGCAACAGCCTGAGAGGTTCAGAAACTGCCCAAGGTCACGGCGCACCAGGTGGCTGGGGAAAGCCCTTGTTTGACACCACTTTCTCCAAGAGACCTTCCCACCTCAGTTCCCTTCCAGTTCCTGAGTTCTAGGACTCCACTCACATCCCCACCCCCACGTCCCAGCTCCTTGTCCTCTGCCCTTCCAGGCGCTTTGCCAGCCCTGGGGTTCGGAGCGCAGCTTTGGTTCTGCCTTCTGTACAGACTGTGTTCACTTGACTATCACCCCGGTTGGGGGCCCAGGCCACTAGGGGGCAGGGACTGGTTGGCTTCATCTCTGGCTCAGGGCAGAGGATGGAGCGGCCCATGGTGGTTGCTGTTGAACTGAGTTGTGGGCTGACACCCTTTGGAATGGCTAAAACCTGATGTTTAGGTTTATGGGAATGTGAGGCCCATTGTTTAAAGAACACAGCTATCTCTGCTCACCCTAAATGGAGATAAATGATTTCTGCTCTAAGAATCAGCCCGCACTGGGCTGCTTACAGTCTAGCTGGAAGCCCAGTGTTGTACAATACACAACCTGAGGATTACAGGCTAGACCTGAGGCTCCAGATGATGTGGTGTGGACTCCAAGGGGAGTACAGAGGGATGCCCAGAGAAGGACAGTGAAGAGGACAGGAGATTGAGACCCTGAACAAGCCTGACACGGGGATGCCCCCTTGACTCTGCCCCTGCCTCTCTATGCAGTCACCAAGCCCTGGGGGATGCAGCCTCCTCAACTGCTTTCTCCTCCACCCTCCACCCTGTCACCAAAAAGGATCATGGTCATTGTCCACCCGCCCTCATTACTGTACCTGCCTCCCACTGTGGGCCCTGACTCTAATCTTCGTCCCTCCAATCCGTATTCGCCCCTGCAGCAGACTCTGTCTTGGGCATCTTCAGTGGCTAAGCTGCAACATCTTTAAGGGGCTTATAAACAGTGTAGAAATTCACCCGTTGGGTAAAAGGCAGACTAAGCATGGGCCTAAGACACCAACAAATGATTGTTTCTTTGTTTATTAATTTATGTACAGTAGGCTCCACACCCAATATGGGGCTTGAACTCAGGACCCTAAGATTAAGAGTCACATGCTCTACCGACTGAGCCAGCCAGGTGCCCCAACAAATGACTGTTTAGATTTAAAATTTGATGTAAAAGTTCTGATATTTTTTGGTTTGTTTTAAAGATTTATTTACTTGAGAGAGAGTGAGCGAGAGAGAGAGAGCATGAGCAAGGGTTAGAGGCAGAGGGAAGGGGAGAAGCAGACTCTCCCGCTGAGAAGGGAGCCTGACTCCTGGCTAGATCCCAGGACCCTGGGATCATGACCTGAGCCAAAGGCAGACGCTTAACCAACTGAGCCACCCGGGTGCCCCAAAGTTCTGATATTTTTAAAAGATTTTTTTTTTTAAGATTTTATTTATTTGACAGAGAGAGACACAGCGAGAGAGGGAACACAAGCAGGGGGAGTGGGAGAGGGAGAAGAAGGCTTCCCACGGAGCAGGGAGCCCCATGCGGGGCTCGATCCCAGGATCCTGGGATCAGGAACTGAGCCGAAGGCAGACACTTAACTGAGCCACCAGGCGCCCCTAAAAGACTTTTTGAACTAATCGCTACACCCAACATGGGGCTTGAACTCACAAGCCGGGATCAAGAGTCCCACACTCTACCAACTGAGCCAGCTAAGCACTCCAGTTTTGATACTTTTTAAAAGTTTAAGTGATCATGAAGAATTCTTAATTTTGGTGGACTT